TTTTCAGCCTCCCCAGTGCTGGCACTACAGGCATGCACCACCACACCCAGTCTTGGTGGCCAGCTCAGTGCACTGGGGGCAGGTCTGGTGCAGCATGTGGTGCTGGGAATCAATCTCCGGTCCCTGTGCTTGCCTAAGCAGGCACTTAGTCTGCTAAGCTATCTCACCAGCCCAAGAGCTTAGTTTGTTAAGTGAACAGTTAAAGAAACAGGTTAGAGGTTAGTATAGGCATGCTCAGTTTTTTCTGTTTAACTGGAAGTCACTGCAAAGTTTCCAAAAAAATTTTCAGGAATTGGCTTCATTTTGCAAGGCAGGTGATTAGTGTGGGTATTTGGGTGACCACTTACTGCTACTTGTTCACATGGTCTCCAAATACGGTCAGTCATTTGTCATGGGTTGAATGAGCCGGTGTGCACTGACAGGGTGGAATTGAGGGGCCTCAGTTTGCATTTGCCAGTCTTCCACTTAGTTCTGCCTCATTGCCACTTAACCTCGCTGCTGATGGGAAATATTCTCTCCATAAACTTCAGTAAGATGTAATGGATTTCTGCAGTGGAAATATTGTTCAAGCTGCAAAACCAAATCACAGCAGGCAGTTTGTCTGGGGACCCTGTGCCTAGCAAGGCAGCCATCTAAAGGGCCAATTGTACAAAGCCATAGACAGTCACAGCTAATTCCCTCTACAGGAGTTTTATTTGTAGGTATGAGAGAATCACACCAACAAAGAGGGTCATTGTTCTGCCGAGACTGCAACGTTTGGCACCTTGTGGTTTGGAGTAGCCTTGCTCACTGCGCTGCTTCTTTAGGTTCAGAAATGCTGATGTTGAGCTTGGGAAAAATGAGACAGCATCCTATGAAGCCATCTGGGGTGATATGGATCCTCCAAGACAGGAACAGCGAGGCCAGCTGCCTGAAGGATCGTAGTGCCATGGCCTAATTAGTTTTACTTGTGAAATATGGCTCTGCTTGAACCTACTCCTATCTACACAAGGCTAGTCTCCTTGTGGAAGAGGAGGGTCCCTGGAGGGAGTCGGGTGGAAGCCACAGTAGACTCCTCCAGGATCTGAGGGCCACACTGAGAAGCTCTGGGCTTCAGGCTTCAAAGCAGGGGTCTTGGTTCCAGCTGGGATAAGACTTACCTGGAGAGCTTTGACGATGCTGACACCCACCTAGCATTGTAGAGCACTGGGTCAGAGCCCCTGGGAGTCGAACTCGGCACCTGTAGTTAACACTGCCAAGCAGAGGAGGGACAGCACGCCAACTACTACTAGATCGTGCTTTAAAATCCCGTTACTTCTACAAATACAGATAAAACTCATTTATTTTATTCTTTTTCCTGTATTTAGGGCAGGGTCTACGGGGTGTTCAGGGTCTCACTACATAGACTGGACTCGTAGTAATTTTCCTGTTTTCAGCTTCCTAAGATCTGGGATTACAGGTGTGTGCCATCACACCCAGTTTCAGTCTCCATCTCAGCATTCCCTGGGGGAATGGCATACTGAGGATCAAACCCCAGCCACTGCACTCTGCCTAAGCAGGTGCTTTAGTCCGCTGAGCTATCAGGCTGGCCCATCAAATAAAACTCATTTAAATCTCTTCTTCTTCTTCTTCTTCTTCTTCTTCTTCTTCTTCTTCTTCTTCTTCTTCTTCTTCTTCTTCTGCTTCTGCTTCTGCTTCTGCTTCTGCTTCTGCTTCTGCTTCTGCTTCTGCTTCTTCTTCTTTTCTTCTTCTTCTTTTTTTTTTTTTTTTTGAGATAGGTTCATACTATATGCTGGCCTCAAACTCATGATCTTCCTGCCCCAGCCTACCAAATATAAGGATTACCAGTGTGTGTTACCACACTCTTTTTCTGAAATTTATATTATTTTGAGCCACTTTGGCTGTTAGGGGAAGTGAAAATAATTTGTAACTTGGTCATTTTAAGTCATTTTTGATTTGGGATATATTTCCGTGATTAAAGGTTGGTAATTTTCAGGAAAGAGACTTTAATGGGGAGGTTTCTCTGAATTTGAAGTTTAGATTATTAGTGTAATATGCTTGTAATAGTCCTGGCTCTTATGACAGACATGGTGGGTAAGACAGGATCTGTTGACAGGGCTGGAAGATGACTGGGTGTGGGGCAGGACCTCCCCAGAGTAACCTGTTTCTGGTGGTTTCTTTAGGTCCTGTGGCAGTCATCAGTGGTGAAGAGGACTCGGCCAGCCCCCTGCACCACATCAACCATGGCATCACCACGCCCTCCTCTCTTGATGCCGGGCCTGACACAGTGGTCATTGGTATGACACGCATCCCAGTTATCGAGAACCCCCAATACTTCCGCCAGGGACACAACTGCCATAAGCCGGACACATGTAAGTAGCAGGATAGAATCCTGTCCCTTTTGGGGAGGGAAGGGTGGTGTGGCAAGAGACCATGTAGCTGGGGTTCTGGAATGTTCTGGGGTGACCTGCCACCTACCAACCTCCCACTCTCTAAGAGACCTTCCCTGTTTATCTAAGAATTTGCAGGACAGCTTGGCCAAGGACAGGCCCTTGTGTAGAGTCCCTGTGTCAGGGAAGATCATGGGTCTGGTCCCCTCTTTCTTCACCTGGGATCAGTGGAACCTTGGGTAGGGAGAGGTGCTCCCAGTGAGGCAGGAGACATGGAGGACCTGGTCTGGGCAACTGTGACACATGACTGTTCAGACCCCTAGGACCTCCACCTAGGCCTTACTGAGAAGGAAAGAGGATGCAGGACACAGTCCTTTTGAATGGAAACATCTCCCCAGCTGCCCCTCCAGTGCCCTGCCCTGAGACAGCTGGATCTTAGGCCAAGTACCAGGGACCCTTCCTGCACCATGTCAGACCAGAGGTCCAGGGTCCCTGTCTCGTCCTCTTCTCTCACCCCCTCATCTCTCACCTCCTCTCAGTTCCAGCTCCTCTCCTTGCATTTCTGCTGAGCCCTGCTAGGATCCCTGTCAGCTCCTGTACTCCCAGAGGCTCATCCCTCTATCCAGCAGGATTCCCTGTGCCACACGCATGAGCAGGTCGGGTCTGGGCTCAGGAACGCCCACGTAGCCCTTCCCTTCCAACTACCCCTGCCCAAGGGAATAACCCACTGCTTTGGGGAGAGAGAGCTTGTTTGGTGTTGGAGAGCAGCCTGAGAGCTGAAAGGGGGCCTGGTAATCAGCTAGTGTGGAGTCTTTGCCTCACAGACTGGAGTCCCAGGGTCTTGGAAGGCTGTGAGTCCCTATTTCTGCCCTAGGCAGCCCCCCACAGGTTCTCTGTCTCAGTCAGTTCCAGCATAGGACTAGGGAGAGGTGTTCTTGCTAAGCCAGCAGCTCAGCTGTCTGCATGTGGGTCACATTTTGTGGCTCCCGTAACTCTTACTGATCCTATGGGCTCACCCCATGGCAGAGTAGGCTCCTGGCTGCCCCATTTGTCACTTTTACTTGGCTCCAATTTTCACATGAGAAGGTTGCCACAGTGGGAGGGACAGGCTTGGGTCAGTAGCAGGTCACCATTTACCTTCCACATTGGGTGTCCTCCCAAATCCTTTTCAGTGTCCATCAGATACTCCCAGTCTGTATCAGAGGAAGGTCACCTGGGTCCTGGACCAGGCTGTGCAAGGAAGAAAGAGAAGTAGTGAGAAACAGGAAAGGGCACTGTGCTCGCTCGAGCTCCTGGCTCAGGCCTGGCCTTCATGCGGCTGAGCAGAGACCCCTTCTTTGGTGGTAGCATGGGTGCAAGCCACGCTTAGGGTCAATAAGGACTTTCCTAGTGTGCTTTGGTATTTGAACAGATGCCCACCTGTTGCTGTATTAAATATAGACTTGAGTCTCATGGCTTGACATAGTCTTATTCTTTCATCCAAAGGCTGACCAAGCCCGACCCTGCTTAGCTTCTGAGATCAGGTGTGAGATCAGGTGCATTCAGGGTTGGATGTCTGTAGACTGATATCCTTTTCTAAAAAGTCACTGTAAACAATGAATTCAAGAGTACTGAACCATGGTTCTTAGGAGAAATACAGCATTGAGTTCCTATGAACCTCTGATCAAGTTTGTAAGTTGTATGTAAATTCTTCTAAGACACCTTATTTAGTATCAGCATTGAACTCAGTGGCTGGTGGCACTGAGACTCGTGACTGCCCAAATCTCCTGTGGCACACCTGTTCCTCTGTAAGACACATCACAGTTGTCCTATGCTAGGAACAGCGGGTGGAATTTTGTAGTGCTTGGGAACCACTTGAAAGAACAAAATCAGAGAAAAACGTCAAAATAGTGTGAAAAACATGGTCCAGAACAGGCCATGAGGAGGACACTTGTTTAAAACATGTACAATGAAAGGAGAATTGCAAAACAGAACAAATATACACACTGTTACTTGCCAGTATACATCAGTATTTTGAAAGAAGACAGAGTGTTGCCTTGCCCCTCTCAGCTGGGAATGTGTAAACACGGCCACTGGCAAATGCACCCAGATAGATTCTGTACGTAGTGACTGATGTCTGCTATTCCCTTTATGGTCAGACTGGGCTCTGGGTGCAGAGTATGATCTGAGCTCTGAGCTCCACACTTGTGTCCTGCGCAGCTCCTGGTCCCAGATCTGAGTGCAGCCACTGGATGGGGTAAATCTGATGAATTTTAGTTTTCTTTGGCCTGGGCTGTCAGTGTTCCCATGGTAACTTAGAAGGTGTGTAGAGGAGCAGAGGACCTAGACAGTGTCCTTGGATGTCAGGGTACCGTACAGAGCTGAGAAGCCACTGCAGCAGGAGACCAGGTGCAGGCAGAGCCTCCCTCCTAGCGCCCTCTGGTTAGAAGTGTGCTGGGATCCAGATGCACTTCTGTGTAATCCAGCGAGGGCAGCGACAGTAGAGGGAAATGCACGGCTGACAGTCTTGAAGGAGGAGGGACGCAAACAGTGTCTAACAAAAGAGAACCACTCTGGCTGTCACAGCCCTCTAACACTGGGTGAAGTAGCCCTTCAGGGCAGTGGGACATTTGCCCTCTCAGCAGACAGAGGCTGCTCTGGTCTCCCCTCTGCCAGACATGGGGACTCCCACAGACAGGGGCAGGATGCCACATTGAGGTGCCTTCAGTGGATTTGCCAGCTCATATGAGACAGTAGCCGGCCTCCCCTGTGTTCCTCAGTACTTCATCCATCCAGGGAACTAAGCCAATAGGGGCTATGTCACATATAATTAAAGCCACATATCCCTTGACATATACATGAGCAGATACTGCACACAAAACCAGGGACACTCCTTTGGCAGAATGGCAACAGTCCAGGGGTTCAAAGAGGAAAAATGCTAGTTTGTGGGCTCTAAGGCTCTCCCATCCCACTCCTGTCCTTGTCCCATTTAAAAATGTGTCACATGGGAAGGGATTTCAGTGACTAGGAGCTACCTGACATCAGACATCATTTCCACATGCCTCTCAGCTGGGGCTTAAGCAGAGAGCATTTTTCTTTCTTTAATCATATGTCTGTTTATTATGAATGGTGACCAGCATGATTAGGATGCTGCTGCTCTCTTTGCTTCCCACTTTCTGGCTGTCTTCAGCCTGGTTTGTAGCATATTCCTTTGCCTGCTGGGCTACAAGGGCATTTTGGGATTACCTAGTATAAAAAATCCTTATCAGATGCTGGCATCCCTACACCTGTGTTCCCAACAGGCACTCTGCATTTTACATTGTCCTTGTTCTGAATTTACTCAGCCTTTCCAGGGGTTCTGAAAGAACTAAATAAAGATGTGCCTCTTGGTCACATGTACCCAGACTGCAGACTAGTAAGGCCCTCTCCCTCCTTATTTATGTGATGCTTTCTGATTCCAAAATGGCATTAGAAGATGGCTGTCCTTTGTTACACAACTCAGGGTCCTAGATGTTGGGTTGGGTCCTAGAGAATGAGCCACCAAGGAGCTGCAGCAGGTTACTCGGGAGAAAGTAAAAGATGGACGCAACAACGTCAGGCTCTTGGCTCTCTCTGTCACCCTTGTGACAGCCCTAGGCTGTAGTACTGTACCCCATGGGCTGAGGCTGTACTGTCGTCTGCTGTCTCGAGTCATGTGGTGGCTTTCCCACAGGCCATCTGGAAGGCTCCTCAGCTCTCCTTAAGCACCTGGGTTTTCAGATCATCCCCTCTCTCAAAACCCATCCGCTTGGTTGAGAAAGCAGAAGGCATCCTGGGTAGTTAAATGTGTCACCCCCTCTATCTCCTTCCTCCTGTCCTCAGGGATTGGTACCTGCCTTTTGTCCCCACGTAGTGTCACCACTTCCCAGGGTCAGCCTATCCTTGCCTGCATCCCCCCATCCTGGCCAACCTCCCCCTCCTACCTGTCCCCTAAGGTTGTTCCTGAGTGCCCCTGTGCTCAACACAACCCTCTTGTAGTTCCTTGACCCGCAGCTCCATTTTGGATTGGTTCCATTTTCCCAGCGTCACCTGCCTGCCTCCATTCTTGGTCTCTCTGCAGAGCTGGACTGTGTGCCTTTGAGTGTGTTCTTCTTTAGCTTCCACGTCCCTCACGCTGTGCCAACTTTCCCCAATCATTTATCCTACACATTCACTGTGAGGATTTGCAACAAGCTCCCTGGACTCTGGAAACAATGAAGAACTGCGACACACATGGTCACTGCTCTCTCAGGCTTACAACCAACCAGAGCTGCTCCTGGAGCGAGTGTGCTTCCTGGTTCCTTGTGCCCCCTCTCAGGGCCTCCTGTGTTCAACTCTCATCTAATGACTCGCTGGCTTTTGGCTTCTCACCAATCCTAAGACCCCAGCTGCTAGTATAATTAGTACACTTTCTGTGTTGATCTGATCATCTTTTTTCCTTGAATGACTTAGGGGCAAGTCTGGGGTCATCCTGCCGCTGCTCAAATGCGTGTCTTCTTTTCCAAACTTGATTTTCCCATTTATGCTTATATTAGCCTTTAGATGTCATAATTCTTTATTTTATACAGAAAGCACAACATAGGACTGGGGGAAAAGAAGGTGCTAACTATCACATGTTACGGGGGCTACTGTTTGATGTTAAAGGGTCCATGTGTTAGGTGCTCAGCCCCAGGGTGGTACTACAGAGAGGTGATAGAAAATTTAGGAGCTGGGACCCAGTGGAAGGTCCTTGGGTCCTTGGGGTTGTGTTCTTGGAGGGTATTAAGGCATATAGGTCCCTTCTTTACTCTCTTTTGCTCCCTGGGCCTGGGTTGAGCAATTTTTTCTGTAATGTCTCCCCTTACTGCTACCTGGGCAGCCCCAACAAATGCCCACAGCAGTGGATCTGGTCAATATGGCTTAGGACTCCTCACTGTGAGCTTAGGTAGACCTTTTATCTTTATAGTTGATCATTCCAAGTTTTTGTTACAATAATGGAAAGCTGA